CGAATAAAGGTGCTTGAAATAGTAAGGACGTGGAATTGCATTCTAGAGCAGAAAGTCAGGAGGTGAGCAGCCTCAAGCCCGGGCCATCGACCCATCAGAGTCACCATCTTTGGGCTCCTTTTGTGCCTCCTTCCTAGTCACAAAATAGCTGCCACAGCTCCAAGCACTGCTCTACCCTTTTGTTGGGAGTAGAAACCCTTTCCCTTTATATCTCACTGGCCGAAACTGGGTTACATGATAAGACACCACCAACCATATCCGTTGTCCTAGCTTTGTTGACACATTTATGCCAAAGAAATAGGGAAAGCCAGAGCTGTTCAGGGACAGATTTCTGGAGAAAAGACCAGTGTAGATTTTAGAGCCCTTTAGCCTTCTGTGGGTATTGAAAACTAATGGTCATCCCATAGATTTGGACCATGCTTAGTTTACAAAACATTTTCATATTTTGAGGGCACCTGGTGGCTCAGTCGGTTAAGTGTCTGACTTCCACTCAGGTCATGATCTTGCCGTTAGTGGGTTCCATGCTGACAGCCCAGAGCCTGGAGCCTGCTTTGGATTCTCTCTCTCTCTCTCTCTCTCTCTCTCTCTCTCTCTCTTTCTCTCTCTCTCTCTTTCTCTCTCTCTCTGCCCCTCCCCTGTTGTGCTCTCTTTCTCTCAAAGATAAACATTAAAAAAAATTTTTTTTTATTTTATTTTGAAGGCAGGATCGCCAAAGGTTTGAGTGCCTGCTTCTGCCATGTTCCTGCTGGGTGATTTGGTGCAATTTCCTAGCCTCTCTGGGCCTCAATCTGTCATCTGTAAAATGGGAATAATAGTAGAATCTATGAGATAAGGTTTCTGTGTGCTTGGCACACAGGAAGCACTCCTTAATTTACTATTATTAGGTCACTATTTAGTGACCCTGTCACTCCTCTTAGATAGAAACAATGAGAGCGTTAAGGCTCAGAGAAGCTAGAGGACTTACCCACGCACTCACAGCTGAGTACAGGATCTGACCCAGATGGTCTGATCCTGTGCTCAGGGCCCTCAGCCCTCCTGTGTTTCCTTCTTGAATTCTCTGTCAACACTTACTGAGTGTTGCACCTGGTGGCTGAATAGTGTTTCAAAGGTGATGCTTTGGTCTGCCAAACGTCCTGTGAATCATCTGAAAACAAGGACTATGTCTAAGGTCTCTCCTACACCTCAGCCCCTAACACCAAGTAGGGGATAGGGAAGACTCTGGTTAAATGGGTTTGTGAGGGGAGAGATGGCCCTTCCATGGGGGCTCTTTCCTGATGGGGAACAAAGGCCCAGTGTGTGCTGAGCCCAGGGTGGGGTGAATAGGTAGGGCCCACTCTGAGAGGCCCCCGACTATACTTAGACTTCGGGAAATTGCTGTTGGAGCAGTAAGCGTTAGCAGCATAAAAAATCAATTTGTGTCCGAATTGACGCTCAGAATTCCCTGTGGCCTCTATAAAATACCATTTTACCTTTTTTCCACCCATCTAGCTGTGGAGGCAGTGGCAGATTTACATTATTTTACATCCAGTTAAGGTTGTTTTGTTTTGGTTTTTTTTTGCCTCCTCTTGGTTATGTTTTTAAGTAGAACATTTATTGCTTTACCTGTAAAGAGGTGTTTTTGTTAAAGACAATAGTGCCCTTTAGGTAGTCACAGAGTGTTATTTCACAAATACCTATAAAACTATTAAACAAGCTGGGATCGCTGGAGCTCTGATTAAAAGGTGCTTTCTAGTTGTCTTTATCTTCGGAAGCCCTGTGAAATGGCTTAACCACCCTTCTTCCCACTGTGAGCAGACGAGCTCGCAGAGAAATAAGGGAAGACACGGGCAGGTCTGCTTAGACTGTAAGGGCAAGGTCGGCATTTACGCCTCCTGAACCCTCATCTGTGTTGGGGATCTAGCTTCGGGCTTTGCTTACTAGCTTGCAATTTTTGCTTAGGACCCAAGACAGGGTTTCTGGAGGCCCAGGGTTCCTACGTGGTGGGCGGGACCAGAAGGCAGGAGAGAGGGCCCAGGTTGGGGGGGAGGGGAGGAAGGACCCTGGAGCTGAGTAGTTCCTGATGCCCACTCCTGGCTCTGCCACTTACGAGCTGTGTCCCCAGAGCAAGTTATTTGACCTCTCTGTGCCTCCATTTCCTCGCTCAAAAACGGGGATCATAACACAGCCCCGTAACCAGGATGTTGGGAAGGTTAAAAGACGCGTATACTTGGCAGGGTGTCAGTAAGGTGACAGCTGAGAGTGGCCACCAGTAAGTGCCACCAGTAAGGTGGCAGGTGCTGAGAAAGGGAGGTGAGGGAGAGGACTCTGGCACGAGGGTGGCCACCCCGGTGGCTTCTAGATTTTCCGCCCCGCACATGCCCTCTACAGCCTTCTCGCTCGGCCAGCATTTCCGGGCAATCTGCCTCCCTTCCTGCCCCCTGGAGCTCCCCGGCCCGGAGGTGCCCTCTGTTCCAGGAAGAAGGAAGCTGCCAGGCACGTACTCAGGGGTTCAGACCGCACTGCCTTGGTGTTGATCACTTAGTTGGGACCGGAGTGAAGTTTGCCCCGGTGTCACTGCGCGCGGGAGTGTGGGGCAAGGTGTAAAGGCCCTGAGTAGAAGACCTGCCTCTGAGACCACCCCACGGTTGGCAGAGCCCCTTTCCCACGGCCACGGGGCTTCCGCCCTTGTCCCTCCGGAGCGCCCACCAGCCAGACCCTGGTCTCCGTGCCCCGCGGGTAATTCGGTTCGTCAGCACAGGAGCTCCAGGGCAGTTGCCACTGCGACTCCCACTCTGCAGGGGAGCAAACTGAGGCACAAGAGGCGGCCCCTAGAGTGGGTGCTCGGCCACGCTCCGCTTGCAGGCAGCGCGCTCTTTCCGCTGCTGGATACGGAGCGGGTACGGAATCAGAGCCCTGGCCGCCGGGTCTCTGAGTCTCCGCAGGAAGGCTTACTCACAGTGGCTATAATAAGACTTCGGATGAGTTGCATGAAATAATAACTTCCCACTTTTACCATCATCATCGTCCTCATCCTCAAACCCTTCCCAGGGGCCCAGCCCTGTGCGGAGCCTTTGATGTGCATCATCCCATGTAATA